TCCTGTCCTGTTTCAGTCTTGTGTCGGTTCATTGTGCTGTTTCCTCTCAGCCTGTGTGGTGTTCTGTCCGTTCCTCCTGAGAAGTACTTATCTGTAAGTTTTTGCTGCCTTCAGCCCTCTTTTTGTTACTTTAATAAACACTTTTTGTTGCACCTTTGAATTTGCCTGTGCCCTGGGTCTGTACCTGTTGAAATCCCACAGAATGAACCGACCAAGTTCCCAGACTGCAGGCAAGACTTTTTTGAGTCTAATGGACATGTCCGAGATTTTTCAGCAATGCAAAAAAAATCTGGCTGAGACGGCTGCCCTTCTCTCGGGGTCCTCTCCTCCGAGAGAGAAGGCTCCCGGTGTTTTTTTTCACCCACCCTCCCACCCCTATCTTTTTTCTGGGGTTCCTGTGCCTGACCTGGCTGTTTCTGCTGCTAGGTTCACTGCTGTATCCACTCCTGAGTCCGTTCATGCATCTCCTGAGTCGATGGTCCCAGTTCCCGAGTCGGTGGTCTTGGTGGATCTGCAGTCACTGGTCTTGGCAGTTCCACAGTCAGTGGTTCCGCAGCTGGTGGTTCTGGAGTCGGCGGTTCCAGTGGTGGTCTCTGAGTCGGCGGTCCTTGAGGTTTGTGGGTCGGCTGCCGGCCCCTCCATGTCATCTAGGTTGGTTGCCGTTGCCTCCATGTTGCCCATTGCCTCCTCATCTCCTGGGTCGTCGCCCGTCACCTCCTCATCRCCTGGGTCGTCGCACATCGCCTCCATGTCGCCTGGGTCGGCAGTCTTAACCTCTTCGTCCCCTCTGTCGCCTGTGTTTGCCGTCGCCAAGGCTCCTGCTCCATTAACCTCCGACGGCTCCTCATCGTCTCCCACTTCCTCTCTTAGCTCCACGTCTGCTTCCTGCCTCCTTCCTTGGCTCCACGTCTGTTCCTGCCTTCTCCATTGGCTCCACGTCTGCTCCTGCCTCCTCCTGTGGCTCCGCATCTGCTCCTGCCTCCTCCTGTGTCTCTGCGTCTGCTCCTGCGAGGTCTCGCCATGGGTGGTTTCCTGGCCACTTTTCCGACCTCCTGCCTCGTTGGGGTGGTTTTCCTGGTCGCCCCCCTGGACTCTCGCCCTGTGTGGGATGGTTTTTCTGACCATTCCCATGGACTTCCGTGTTATGTCCTTGAGTTTGTTTTGTCCAGTCTCCCCTTGTTCCGTGCCTCTCCTTGTTGATCGTTGGGAGACGATCGTTAAGGGGGAGGTACTATCATGGTTTATCAATTTTCACCTTGGTTTTCCTAGTGTTTCTATGTTCCCCTGTGTGTCTCAGCCCAGCTGCCCCACATTAGCCTGATTGTTWCCCTCGTGTTTCTCACCAGGTGTTTTATGTTCATTCATTAGTTTTTAGTGTATTTAAGTCCTGTCCTGTCTCAGTCTTGTGTCGGTTCATTGTGCTGTTTCCCCTCAGCCTGTGTGGTGTTCTGTCCGTTCCTCCTGAGAAGTACTTATCTGTAAGTTTTTGCTGCCTTCAGCYCTCTTTTTGTTACCTTAATAAACCCTTTTTGTTGCACCTTTGAATTTGCCTGCGCCCTGGGTCTGAACCTGCTGAAATCCCACATAAACATGTGTAGTGCAGAATAGTCTGAAAAGTGTGTAGAAACGAATAAATACAAGCTATTTGTTTTACCACCTTAAAATGAAGCAGGTGATTCCAAACACAACATCCAATGGATGCAGATATCTACGTTAAAGTTATTTTGTGTGTGTGTGTGTGTGTGTGTGTGTGTGTGTGTGTGTGTGTGTGTGTGTGTGTGTGTGTGTGTGTGTGTGTGT